AATACATGCTATTTGTATTACATTCATTTCATAGCCATATTTTCACAGATGTTTTAAATTGGTTGTATTTAACTTTCCTCCAAAGTAAAAAATGTATGTTTCTGAAAGCTGCATGTATTTACCTTTTTTATATTTTATAATACACTTATATTATTTAGTTTTCTTAGTACTATTATGTTTATCTTGGCACACTGCCCTATATTGTGTGTATCTTGGTATATTGCCTTGAGGGTATTTCTCGAGTGGTTTGCAGGTTCCAGCACTAAACCATTAGCACTCACTGCCACATGAGCTCAGTCAGATGTTGAGATTCATTCAGGTCTCAGTGGGCACCTTGGGAAACACAAAGCTTCACCAGAGTGAATGAATTAGAAAAAAAAAAAGTACATACAATTGAGGAGCTGAGTGGGAGATCTCAAGCCTGGGGCAACATCGCCAGACTTGGTCTCTTCAGGGTCGAAGAGGTTGGTCTATGTCCTCATGGGGTACACGGAGGAGCTGATATTTGAGGTCTGGCATGCAGTGGCATCATCGGTCCCAGATTGCAGGAGTTGGCTAGAGATGGCAGAACTTGGGGAGGGGTGTAAGGATGTGAATGACAGGAACAATTGACGTTCCCATTTTTCCAAGTCAGCATTAACTCCTGCAAGATGAGATTTATGTATATACTGTCTAACCTTCTTTGCTCTGAGAGGACACCATGTAAATTACCATGAGCCGATTTTTTGTCTAGATCTAGAGACCAGGGGTTGGCAAACTAAGGCCCATGGGTCAAATCCAGTCCCCACCCACACACCCCTCCCCGCACCACTTTTAGTAAATCAAGTTTTATTGGATGGAATATAGTCATGCTTATTTGCTGTCATATTGCCCATGGCTGCTTGTCCCTGATAACGACGGATCTGAATAATTGTGACAAAGACTTTATGATCCAAAGCCTAAAATATTATCTGACTGTTTATAGAGAAAGACCTATATTAGAATGACCTGCATTGTGAGATAAAAATTAGCCAATACATTTTACAGATATTTCTTGCTCATTTTGACAGTGATTCTGAGCCTCAGTGTAAGGGAAGGGATGCCTTTCGAGAGAAGGGCATCTCACCCTGAAGAGGGTCCTCAGCCTTCATGTCCACCCCTCAAGGTGGATAGTGCTCAGTCATGTCCAACTCTGCCACCCCATGGACTGTATAGCCCGCCAGGCTCCTCTGTCCATGGAGATTCTCCAGGCAAGAATACTGGAGTGGGTTGCCATGCCCTCCTCCAGGAGATCTTCCTGACCCAGGGATCGAACCCACATCTCCTGCATTGACAGGCAGATTCTTTACCTCTAGTGTTACCTGGGAGGCCCCAAGGTTGGCAGGGTGAAAGCCTATTAGAATTTCTGCGCTCAAGCATAGCTTGCCTTCCAACAGAATTTCCCTGGTCTGCCTTAGCCTCATAATGCTTTCCCCACACTCCCAAACCGGCAGGAGTTCCACTGAGAAGCAGCCTTTGCTTTGTCTCTATTCACCCTTCTCAGCTGTTCTCCTTCCAAATTTTACTTTTTTTCTCTTTTAGAACTTCTGAGCAAGCGCACTCAGAGTTCTGGACTCGGACTCTACCACTTCCTTCTTCTTTGATCCTCAGCAGAGATGCCGAACAGAACTGGTTAGCACATTAAAAAAAAAAAAAAAGTATTGGTCATAGAAAAGTACTTGCCTTCCTCTCCTCTACTTATGAAATCCAGAGCCTCTGGAAGCATCCGAAGCACCTTCATTTTTTATTGGAGGATAATTGCTTTGCTTTGCAATGTTGTGGTGGTCTCTGCCATATATCAATGTGAATCAGTCATAATTTTATACACATATATATAAATAAATATTATGTACAGTCCAAGGGATCACAAAAAGTCAGACACAACTGAGCAACTAACCATGTATATATGTATGTGTATATGTATATAAATATATGTATATGCATATATATCCCCTTCCTCATGAGACTCCCTTCTCCCTCCATCCCACCCCTCTAGGCCATCACAGAGGCCTGGGCTGAGCTCCCTGCTAGTTAGACAGCAGCTTCCTGCTAGTTCTCTCTTTTACTCACGGTAGTGCATATACGGGCTTCCCAGGTGGCGTAAGTGGTAAAGAATCTACCTGCCAATGCACGAGACATAAGAGATGTGGGTTCGATCTCTGGGTCAGGAAGATTCCTTGGAAGAGGGCATAGCAATCTACTCCAATATTCTTACCTGGAGAATCCCATGGACAGAGGAGCTTGCCAGGCTACAGTCCAAAATGTCGCAAGGAGTCGGTCGGATGTGACTGAAGCGACCTAGCATGCATGCATGCAGTGCATATATGTCAGTACTACACTCTCAAGTTTCAGTTCTTGTGAGGCTGATGAGCCTAGAGCCTGTTATGCAAAGTGAAGTAAGTCAGAAAGAGGAAAACAAATATAGTATATTAACACATATATATGAAATCTAGGAAAATAGTAGTGATGAAGCTATTTACAGAGAAGAAATGGAGATGCGCAGATATAGGGAATGAAGTGCATTTTTCCAGGCTCCTCCATCGTACTGGGTTTCAGAACCTTCCTTGAGCCCTAAAGGTGTCTCTGATTCAGGGTTTGGGATGAAGTTGGTGTTGCCTACATGTGACACAGTGGTGAGCACAGTGCGCAGGTCTGGGTGATGGACTGGAGGTGCTCAGCATGCTTCAGGGCTTCATCTTCCCTGTTACCCGGAAGATCCCTGGGAAGCATGCTGTCATTCGAGTAGGTCTCAGCGGTTACAGGCGCCTAAGCTGAAAGCTGGCTGTGAAGCTTCACAACCAAGTCTAACAGTACCAAAACACGTGTGACAGATTCAAATTCAACAATAGCCAACTTTAAAAGATCAGCTCAGAGCATAGAGGCAGCAACAGGGATGCGGACAGTAGTGTTCTGGTCTTGGAAAACTGGTTTATTTATAGCAGAGCCCCTGACGGTGGCACTGGCCATCTGGCCCAGTCATTCCAGCCAGTCCCCAGCACCTGCGAGTCCATTCATGAAATCTAGGCCATGGACGTGGAAGTTTGGGGAAAGCATGGTTTGCTGGGTTATGTGGATTTGCGAGCCTCTCCTTAGGACCCTTCAAACAACTGCAGATCACTTTGTTTTAAACCCCACGTGCTCTGAAAGCAGTCCTAACTTGGGGCTAGATCAGAATATCATAAAACGGGGAAGAAAAAGTTGTGACATTTACATGCACAGGAGCAATTGCCTGGACTCTTAGTGCACATTATAAATGTCTACCCACTGCTCAGCACCTGCCATGCAGCCCAGGGATGCTGGCTATTTGCATCTATTAGCTGCGTGGCAAGGGAGTATCATTGGTCAAAAATGTAGCTGTGTTGCTCCTGAGAAGAAAAGCAGTCCTAGTGGGACCCAGCAACCTTCCACAGTGGAGAAACCATGTGAGGGCAAGTGGGTGCCATGGGTGTGAAATTTTAATGGAAGCAACACATAGAGTTTTGAGGAAGTTTCACCCTGTGATATGTGTGTGTGTACTCAGTCGTGTCCAACTTTTTGTGACTCCATTGTAGCCTACCAGACTCCTCTGTTCATGGAATTCTCCAGGCATGAATATTGGACTAGGTTGGCATTTTCTTCTCTGGGAATCTTCCCAACCCAGGGATCAAACCCGCCTCTCCTGTACTGGCAGGTGGACTTGTTACTACTGTGCCACTCTGTAATACATGCTGTGATTCCCAGCTTGCCCCTGAAATATGCCTGCAGTCTTTTTTGCTGGATTTCTGAAGCAGCACACTGCACCTGGAATTGAAGCAATCCAGCTTTGTCCAGGCTGCATGCCACTCCCTCCACTGGCACCTACCATGTGCCCTCCTAGACACTTGCTGTTTATTTTCTCATGTATTCTTCAAAAAGATCTGTGAGGTAGCTAATCCTGCTAAAGACACAGACTCAGAGAGGTGAGGTAAACCGGCCGCGAGTCACACTGTTGGTAAGAGGAAAGGTCAGGCAAGGTTCCACCAGGTTGGCCTTGCTCCAGACCTTCTGTGTGCTGAGACTGGCAGGCATCCGTCAGCATGTCTGCATGGGCTGGGGGCCGAGATGCTGCCAGAAATGCATGCGTTTAACTATTAGCCTCACTAAAAATAATGTCAGGAAGGGAAGCAGTAACAGGACATGAATATGAATGTGTAATGTGCACCAAAGCCCAAAATAATTATTTTTGCTTTAAGTACCCTGCCATTTTATAGGATCCATGACAAGGCCACCTGCTTCCTGACATGGATCCTGAGTTGTTTGTGTTTGCAGGTGGGGGGGCTGTCTCTCATTTATGATATTTTCTGGGCTTTGAGGATTTGTATGTGGGCTGGAAGAGCCTGCTTTAGCGGTGGTGGATTGCAGACCCCCTCACATGCTTCTTAGGCCCTGAAAAACCAAGGTCATCTGGCAGTTCCTCCTCTTGGTATTTCCCTAGGCCGATGCTTCAGTTTATCCTTTTATCTCTGCAGAGTTCGCGGGCTTACACTGAACTGAAGAGACGTCCCTTCCTCTTTCCTTCCCATTTGGCCCCTGACGGATTCTGGGCATCTCTTCAGAGCTCCCAAATCCCTCTTCTCATTTCAATTAGAGCGCGCTCCGCGGCGGTGCAGGCCGGGCTGGAGAAGCGAAGCCTGGTCCCCACATTAGAGCTGATTCATCTCCTTCCTGAGCTCAGCCCGCTCTTGGCTGGGGAGGAGGGAGAATGGAGCGGTCTTTCAGGAGGATAAATATGGTTTGTTTGTGTTTGTATTTGCTTCCACACTGAATTCTGATTGCATCCGGTGCCCCGACACCACAATTATTATTAATTTCCCCGTCTGCTCTCCGAATCTTGCTGCCACAGAGATGTGATGACGGATCATGTTAGATGTGGTAATTGGATGGGGGAAGGGAAAGGAGGGAGAGACAGATGTTTCATTCTGAGATTCGAATCTGAGTGTGGGCCTCCAGAGCACAGGCCCAAGATGAAGCTGCGCCGGGGTCGCTGGAAGCCAGAGGATCCCATGTGGACACTGTGGGCCTGTCGTCCTGAGTCTGCGTCTCCACTCCACAGGTTCCCTGTGGGCCGCTGGACCTCACACCCCTTCGAGGCGAAACAAGTGAGACAGGGCGTGAAAAGTAGGACCATCCTGACTCCTCAGACCATGGAATGCCCCGTTCCAGTACAGGGATCAAACAGCCTGGCTGGTAACCACAGCTAACAGGTCCCAGCTGGTGAAATATAGCACCCTCCCTGCAAGGCCTCCTGCTTCGTGTTTACAAATGAGGGCTTGGTAGCCCCTGCCCAAACTGCAGATCTCAGGGCTCAAGAGGCTGGTCTCCGATGAGGAAGCTGCTCAAGAAGAAGGACTTCTGCAGGGCCCTCCCCACCTAGACTGCCTAAGGAGTTTGGGGCTCGAATTTCAGCCCTCTAATTCCTTGGTCTCTCTGGTGACCAGCCCCAGCTGCCCTTTCTAGGGCCACCTCCTAGAGTCATCTCATTAGCACATGCTTAAAGGGGTTTTCTTTTTTTTTTTAATTGAAGTACAGTTGATCTACAATAGTATGTTAATTTCTGCTTACAGCAAAGTGACTCAGTTATACATATGTGTACCTTCCTTTTCACATTTTTTCCATTATGGTTTATCACAGGATATTGAATATAGTTCCTTGTGCTATAGCGTATGGCCTTGTTGTCTGTCTCTTCTCTATACAATAGTTTACATATGCTAAGCCAAAACTCCCAGTCCATCCTGCTCCCAATCGCCTCTTGATAACCACAAGTCTGTTCTCTATGTCTGTGAATCTGTTTCTTAGATAAGTTTATTTGTGTTGCATTTTAGATTTCACATGTAAGTGGTATCATACAATCTTTATCTTTCTGACTTATATCACTTAGTATGATAATCTCTATGTGCATCCATGTTGCTGAAAATGGCAGTATTTCACTCTTTTTTTATGGCTAAGTATATTCCATTGTGTGTGTGTATATATATACACACACACACCTATATATATGTATATTTATGTGTATATATACACATAAATAGGAGATCAAACCAGTCAATCCTAAAGGAAATCAGTCCTGAATATTCATTGGAAGGACTGATGTTGAAGCTGAAGTTCCAATACTTTGGCCACTTGATGTGGAGAACTGACTCATTGGAAGAGACCCTGATGCTGGGAAAGATTGAAGACAGAAGGAGAAGGGGACGACAGAAGATGAGATGTTTGGATGGCATCACCAACTTGATGGACATGAGTCTGAACAGGCTCCAGGAGTTGGTGATTGTCAGGAAAGCCTGGCATGCTGCAGTCCATGGGGTCCCAAAGAGTTGGACATATATATATATGTATATATACATATATATGTAAACCAGGTGAAGGAAGGTGTTAGTTGCTGAGTTGTCTACAATTATTTGTGACCCAATGAACTGTAGCCCGCCAGGCTCCTCTGTCCATGTGGATTCTCCATGCAAGAATACTTGAGTGGGTTGCCATTCCCATCTCCAGGGTATCTTCCCCACCCAGGGATTGAACCCATATCTCTTAAGTCTCCTGCATTGCAGGCCATCTTTACCATCTGAGCCACCATATATATACCACATCTTCTTCATAAAAGAGGCTTCTTATGAATGATGAAAGACAGTCCTTCCACTCAGAAAATTCCAATGGTTTGAGGAGGTCTTGTGCCTGGACCAGGGACAAAGACCAAGTACATTTCTTATGATACTACATTTGTCCTTAGACGTTCTCTTGAAGATCAGAAATTGACAGGCCAGTGATGCTGGTGACCCCCAAAGACCACAGGACAAGGCTAGTAACCCTCACCCTCAGCTGAATTAGATCATAGCAGAGCTGGAGGCATGGCAGTCACAATTATTTGGGGGGTCTTCCTGGGGGCCTCTCTTGAGCGTCCTTCTCTGCTTGGGGAAGGCTCTTGTTCAACCTCCTCAGACCGTCCAGGGGCTGCAGTAGGGCCTACAACACACGGGTACAAAAGGAAGGGGGCCCATTTTAGTGAACAAGCAGCATTTGGCACACCAGGAGCTGTGCCCGTCGCTCCCAGGGAAGGGAAGCCGGGAGAGTCTCCGGGGACTTGGAGCTGTAAATCGGCCCAGCCAGATTAGGTGCTTACATTTAGTTTTTTCTCATCAGGAAGGACGCCGTGGCTGGTAATGGAGCTGCCGTGTGGTAACTCATGCATGAGATTAGCACAGAGGAAGGACAGGAGGGATGGGAGAGGAGAACCCGAGGGGGACCAGGTGTGGCCGCTCGCTTGTGGACCCCCGCAGGACTGGCAGACCAGAGCCTGAGTTTCTAGGGAACAGACAGGGAGTCCAGCTTCCTCACTGTATGGGCAGCAGAGACCAGGTGAATGAGGGACACGCCTCAGGGTGCACAGCAAGCTGGTGGCCCAGCCTGGCGGGGCATTTGAGCAGTCAGCTTGCCTTTCCAATGAGCCTTTCCTCTGCACAGTCTTGCCTACGGAGGATTAGCGGTGCACCGAGGAGAGGGGCACGGTGCATGCCCAGCCAGGTGGCGATTCCAGCATCGCCCAGCTCTTTCTCTCCTCATCTTCCCCATTCAAACCCTGTCTCCTCTCCTAATGAACTCTCTCTCGCTCTGTCCTTGCAGTAATTTCCACCAGCTGGCCCTTTGCAGGTGTGTATGTGTGTGTGCGTGCGTGCCTATGCACAGAATCAGTGGGGGCCCCCGGTGTGCTGGCCGACCCTGTCCTTTGAGCGAAGCCCTGGACAGCGCTTGGAAGCTCAACTTGTCTCAGACTTGTGTGCTCACTGGGGAAGTCTGTCTGGACACACGGGGCTCCACCGTCCACTCCCTGTGGGTGCCAGACAGAAACGGGGTGAGTCCAGGAGGGACACCCCTGTCTACTCGCTGCACCTATTTGGTTCCAGGTGTTTTCCCTGCATTTACTTAAAGCAGTGCTGGAACTGGAGTCCTGGAAACTGAGAGGCCCAGGTGCGGTTTGGGAAGGGCCCAATCCTCTTCTCAGGGCATGCCTGCTCCATCTGATCATCTGGGGATCAGACCTCTTCTCTCCTTTCCTGCAGGCCTCAGGGCAGGCTGCTTTATTTAATCCTTCAAGTTGTTTCCACATATTCTGTCCCTCAAAAAGCTTCTCACACCTAATCTCCCATGTGGAGCTGTGTTCTGGGCACCGCTTCCCCGCGGCGTCCCATCTTGGCTGACTCCTCTCTCCATCCTCAATTTCCTCTGGGTTCATCGAGGAAGTGGGGGAGAAAACCAAGGTTGACATGTGGGGCAGGGACTCACACTGGGGTCTCCCGGGCAGACCTAGGAGTGGTACATAGCCACCCTGGGCTCTACTAGCCAGAACCAGGGTCATGGCCAGTGCGCATGGAGCCCGCAGCTGCCTCTGTCCTTGCTCTGAGACGCACCACCTGGAACCCTTCTGTGTTCATTTGACTGATTCCTACTCTGTTAGCTGTTAAGTCAGGTTTTGTTTTCCCCCCTGAAAGCCTTCCCTGGACCCTTAACCAGAAGGTGGCCTCCCTCCTTCCGTAATGCATCTTGTGTGGCCTTACAGTATTCACCACGAGGTCAGCCCTCCTCACCCACCTTTCTCACTGGACCATGCCCTTCTCAAGGCCTGTGCTGTAACTTGTCTTTTTTTTTTTTAGAGGGTTCCCCCCTTCCCCTAGTGGTTCTTAATAGAAATTATGACTTAGAATCACTTGGAGATCTTTTAAAATATCTGTGCTTGGACCTTGGGCTCCCCTGTGTGGCTCAGATGATAAAGAGTCTGCCTGCCTGCAGTGCGGAAGACCCGGGGTTCAATCCCTGGGTCAGGAAGATCCCCTGGAGAAGGAAATGGCAACCCACTCCAGTATTCTTGCCTGGGAAATCCCATGGACGGAGGAGCCTGGTAGGCTACCATCCATGGGGTTACAAAGAGTTGGACACAACTAAGCAACTTCACTTCACTTGGACCTTTGTTGTTGTTTAGTCGCTAAGTTGTGTCCGGCTCTTTGGGACCTTATGGATGGTAGCCCACCAGGCTCTTCTGTCCATGGGATTCCCCAGGCAAGACCTGGAGTGGGTAGCCATTTCCTCCTCCAGTGGATCTTCCCAACCCAGGAATCAAACCTATGTCTTCTGAATTGGCAGGTGGATTCTTTACCACTGAGCCACCAGAGAAGCCCTGGTGCTTGGACATTACCTTCAAAGAATTAAACCAAAATCTTCAGAATATGGGGTCCTGATATATTTTAGTTAAAATTTCCAACATTCCTTTAGGGCTGAGAACCGTTGTAGTAGATGCTTCAGGACTGTTTGTTGAATGAATGAGTGCTTCACTCCAGCATTCAGGGGAGCAGAGATGTAGCAGCACAAGGAGTGTTCCCCTGGAGCCCAGCAACTCCATTCAACGGGTTCTGCCCACTTCGTGTGGTCTCTGTACCAGAAGTCAGCCTGTCTCTACCATTTAAAAAAATCATTCAAACTTGTTCTGGATATTGTAAATTGAACTCAATAGAGTCCATTTCCTCTATCTGCAGCATTAGGGGGGAAGGTGTCTATGCAGAGAAAAAAATAAGTAAATAATCGACAGACATTTTATTATAAGCAGTTACTGATTGCCAACTATATACCTACTGTCCAGTGAGCCTGTGGGAGATACACACACACAGTACAAAGGCATGGATTTCCAGTCTAGATAGGGAAACCAAGCAGATGCACAAGAAAGGGTTGGTAGATGAGTCTTTTCTCTAAATATTTTGAAGGACCACCATTGCTTGGTACAGATAATTAGAGAAGATGACTGTGGAACACCAGGTGTTAATTATGCAGGGCAAACATAATGTACAAGGAGCAAGTGAAGGGAGACATCATCGTGGGCTCTGCCAAGGAGCACGGCTGTGGGTTCAAGCTAGAAGGACCAGCCCACACAGGACCGGGTGTGGGCAGACGGAGGTGAGTCAGGCCAGGGGAGGTGCATGCGCAGATCCAGAAATGACACATGCGTCTGAATGTTTGTAGAGAGGTGTGACTGGGACAGAAGGTGTCTTGGGGAAGGAAATCCACACACTTGGGGAGGGCAGGCCACATTAGGACGGACTACGGCTGGAGGTGAGACTGACCCTGAGGCTAGTGCAGAGCATCATTGGTGTGGAACGTGGGGACCCCAATTGTTAGGCTGGTTGTGACAGCAGTGTGAGAGGCAGACGGGAGGCAGCAG